AGGAGGAGGAGGAGGAGGAGGAGGAGAAGAAGGAAGGAAGGAAGGAAGGAAGGAAGGAAGGAAGGAAGGAAGGAAGGAAAAAGAAGAAGGGAGAAAGAAGGAAGGAGGTGGAAGGAGAAGGAAGGAGGAAGGAGGAAGAAGGAAGAAGAATATGAACAATAAAATGGCAATAAATACATATCTATCAACAAATGAATGTAAAAATATAAATAAGTGAACAAGAAATCTAATGAACAAAATGAACTGGTGAATAAAATAGAATCAGAAACATGGAAACATGGAACCAACTGAGGAATCTTAGAAGGAAGAGGGGTTGGGGAAGCCGGAAGAGATTAACCAAAGAACTTATATCTATATATGCATTACCTATGGACACAGACAATAGGGGGGTGAAGACCTGGTGTAGGGCGGGAACTGGGTGGAGGGGGGAGAGGGGGAAAAAGAGGGACATCTGTAATGCTCTCAACAATAAAGATTTTTTAAAAATAAAAAAAGAAAGAATGGTCAAAAAAAATGAAGGCAAGCAGAGTTCAAAACTGGTTATAAAGATGCTCAATGAATTAAGAGAAGAATTGTTGATCTTAGTAAGAATCTCAGCAAGACAGGAAACATAAAAAAGGAAACAGAAGTCATAAAACAGAACCAGTCAGAAATAATTTATTATTATTTTTTTAATTAAATCTTATTGTTCAGATTATTACAGTTGTTCCTCTTTTTCCCGCCATAGCTCCCCTCCACCCGTTTCCCACCACCCCCTCTGCCCTCACCCCCCCCCCACTGTCCTCACCTATAGGTACACGATTTTTGTTCAGTCTCTTCCTGCATCCCCCACACCCCTTCCCCGCCCCCCCAGAGTAGTCAGTCCACTCCCTTTCTATGCCCCTGATTCTATTATATTCACCAGTTTATTCTGTTCATCCGATTATTTATTCACTTGATTTTTAGATTCACTTGTTGATAGATGTGTATTTGTTGTTCATAATTTGTATCTTTACCTTTTTCTTCTTCTTCCTCTTCTTAAAGGATACCTTTCAGCATTTTATATAATACTGGTTTGGTGGTAATGAACTTCTTTAGCTTTTCCTTACCTGTGAAGCTCTTTATCTGACCTTCACTTCTGAATGATAGCTTTGCTGGATAAAGTAATCTTGGTTGTAGGTTCTTGGTATTCATCACTTTGAATATTTCTTGCCACTCCCTTCTGGCCTGCATAGTTTCTGTTGAGAAATCAGCTGACAGTCATATGGGTACTCCCTTGTAGGTAACTGACTGTTTTTCTCTTGCTGTTTTTAAGATTCTCTCTTTGTCTTTTGCTCTTGGCATTTTAATTATGATGTGTCTTGGTGTGGTCCTCTTTGGATTCCTTTTGTTTGGGGTTCTCTGCGCTTCCTGGACTTGTAAGTCCATTTCTTTCACCAGGTAGGGGAAGTTTTCTGTCATTATTTCTTCAAATAGGTTTTCAATATCTTGCTCTCTTCTTCTGGCACCCCTATAAAACGGATGTTGATACGCTTGAAGCTGTCCCAGAGGCTCCTTACACTATCTTCATATTTTTGGATTCTTTTTTCATTTTGCTTTTCCGGTTGGATGTTTTTTGCTTCTTCGTATTTCAAATCTTTGACTTGATTCTTGCGATCCTCTAGTCTGCTGTTGAGAGTCTGTATAATATTCTTTATTTCAGTCAGTGTATGCTTAATTTCTAGTTGGTCCTTTATCACAACCTCGAGGGTCTCATTAGATTTCTTGAGGGTCTCATTAAGCTTATCGGCAGTTTCTAGAAAATTCTTGAAAAACCTTAAAAGTGTGGTTTTGAACTCTATATCCAGTAGTTTGTTTTCCTCCATTTCTGTCATTTGTGTCCTGTTTCTTTGTCTCCGCATTTTTTAATGCTTCGCTGTGTCGATAGAGTGGCTTTCTGTACTAGGTGTCCTACAGGGCCCAGTGGCTCAGCCTCCCCAATTACCTGAGGTAGACACTCTTGGTGTACCCCCTTGTGGGCTTTGTGCACAGTCTTGTTGTAGTTAAGCCTTGATTGTTGTAGGTAACACTGGGAGGGATTGACCTCCAGGCCAATTGGCTGTGAGAATCAGCTATGTCTGCAGTGGGAGAACTTCTGTGCCGGAGACACCCCTCCGGGGCAAGATTTGCTTCAATGGGGCTTTGGTGCTCCAGAAATAAAGAATTTATTAGATGGAATCAACAGTTAGATTAACTGAAGCAGAGAATCAAAAATCAGTGATTTGGATGACAAGGTAATAAAAAACACCTAATCAGAACAGCAAATAGAAAAAATAAATCCAAAATAATGAATATAGTTTGAGGGACCTCTGGGACAATATCAAGTGTAACAACATTTGCATCATATGGGGAATGGAAAGAGAAGAGAGATAGCAAGAGAATAAGAACCTATTTGAAGAAATAATGACAGAACACTTCCCTAACTTGGTGAAGGAAACAGACATACAAGCCCAGGAAGCACAGAGAATCCCATGTAAGATGAATGCAAAGAGGCCAACACCAAGACACAACATAATTAAAATGGTATAAGGACAGAGAATCCTAAAAGCAAGAGGAGAAAAGCCATTAATTACATACAAAGGGACTTCCATAAGTCACTATCAGCTGATTCTCAACAGAAATTCTGCAGGCTAGAGGGACTGGCATAAAATATTCAAAGTGATGAAAAGCAAGGATCTATAACCAAGACTCCTCTACCCAGCAAGCCTATTATTTAGAATCAAAAGAGAGATAAAGAGTTTCCCAGACAAGAAAAAGCTGAAGAAGTTTATCACCACCAAACCAGTATTATAAGAAATGTTAAAAGTCTTCTTTAAGAAGAAAAGATTTAGCCCTAGCTGGTTTGGCTCAGTGGATAGAGCGTCAGCCTGCGGACTGAAGGGTCCCAGGTTTGATTCTGGTCAAGGGCACATGCCCGGGTTGCAGGCTCGATCCCCAGTGGGGGCTGTACAGAAGGCAGCCAGTCAATGATTCACTCTCATCATTGATGTTTCTCTCTCTCCCTCTCCCTTACTCTCTGAAAATCAATAAAAATATATTTTTTTAAAAAAAATTTAAAATATGAATAAGAAGATATCACAAAGAAAAAAATTCTCATTGACAAAGGCAAACACATTATAAAAGCAGTGGATCAACTAAAACTAAAGGCAAATATAGGAAGATCATATGTAATTATAATAGCAAATTAAGGGACATATACAAGCACATAGACACACACAAAAGATGTAAAAAATAATGATTAAAACATAAACATGGAGGGGCTGAATAAAAATGATAGTGACTTTAAAATGTATTTGAACTTAAGTGACCTTCAACTTAAAATACACTATTATAAACATAGCTTGGTATATATGAAGGACATGGTAACCACAAACCAAAAATCTGTAAGAGATATGCAAGAAATAGAGAAAAAATTCAAGCATAACCCTACAGAAAAATCATCAACATACAAGAGAAGAGAGCAAGAGAATAAGAAAGGAATAGAGAAGAACTACAAAAAACAATCAAATGGCAATAACTACATACCTACCAATAATTACTGTAAATATAAATGGATTAGATGTTCCAATCAAAAGATGAATGGATAGTAAAGAGGTGGTTCATATATACAATGGAATATTACTGTAACATAAAAATGAAATCTTACCATTTGTGACAACATGGCCGTAGAGGTTATTATGCTAAGTGAAATAAGTCAAACAGATAAAGACAAATACCATATCACTTCACTTACATGAGGGATCTAAAAAACAAAACAATCGAACAAAAACAGAAACAATTTGGAAAACAATCATTTTCCCCCTGGTATTTATAAAAGATTTCAGAGTTACAGAGGGCAATTACTCAGCCAGTGGTTTGTATTTTTTGGTCAAACCTCACCCAAGGTTGTATTTTTTGGTATTTTTTTTCCTTTGTCAATCCTTATCCAAGGTTATTTTTTCCATTGATTTTTAGAGAGAGTGGGAAGGAGGGAGAGAGACAGAAAGAGAAACATTGATGTGAGAGAGACACATAGATAGGTTGCCTCCTGCACGTGCCCCAACTGAGGCTGGGGATTGAGCCTGCAATCGAGGTATATGCCCTTGACCAGAATCAAATCCATAACCCTTCAGTCTGCAAGCCAACACTCTAACCACTGAGCTTAACCAGGTAGGGCCAGCCAGTGATTTTGATAAGAGGAAGGTAGGCTGTCATCACTGAAGGTCTGCCCATTCTTTGTCAGGCAACCTTCTGTGACCCCACACCTGGGTTGATGCCCTCTAAATTCTCATAACTTTATCTTGCACTTAGTAGATTGTTTTGGGATTATCATTTCACACACATGCACCTCTGCCTGAATTGCAAGCATCTTAAGCAATAGATATGACCCCAAACTTACTGAGCTCTGCATCCTAGGTACCCAGCACAGGGCCCACAACATAGTGGACAATTAATACATGTTTGATAAATGAATGAATGGATAATTGATATGGACTCTAAAATCTTGATTAATCGCTGCAAGACAGCAGGATGTAAAATTCAGTATGTGGCTTCATGCCACCTTGTGATCTGAGATGCAAGCCAAGTCAAGTGAATTTTAAGATCATTGTTTGCCTTTACAGATGGCCTCTTAGCCAACCTCACATAGTGTAAGTCTCATAGCAATCTTTTAGCATTAGTTCATACACCATCACTGAATCAAAAGGTCACCTTCAAGTCTTTGTTTGAACATTACCTTCTCCATGAGGTCCCGTCTGATCACCCTATTTACAGCTACACCTGTACCACCCACACCAGAACTCCTGTTTCCTGTTACCCTACTCTCCATTTTTTTCCATAGCTCTTTAACTCCTTCCATGTATTATATACTAATTGCTTGTGTGTTCACAAATACAAGTTTGGAATTTGCTGTAAATAGTGACTAAGATTGTGAACTCTAGAGTAAAATTGCCTATGCTTATGTTAAAGTAGATTTTCATCCTGAAGACAACCATACAAGTTACCTGGAGCCGAAGGTCAGACATTTGTCTTAACAGATCTTCAAAGAGTTCTCTATCATCTTCTGGTAATTCAGAAGACAAGACGACCCCCACAAAGCATCCTGACGCTTGTAACATTGTATCAGGAAACATGTAGGCTCCTACAGTACATTTGAGAACTGGAGATCTATCAGGAACTAGAGGGTACAACCAATCACAAACCTGAAAGGATTAGTTAAAAAGAAAAAAATCAATGAACAGAACTAGGTTTTCACCAAGGTTTTAAAATTTTTATACCAGAAAACAAACATTTCAAAGTTTGAAATGTATCTTTATAGAACCATCAGCATCAACAAGTCCCCAATAAAAATTAGCCATTTATTAGTCTGATCTTCTGGCAAACTATTCACAAGAACTACACTAAAAATGTTACTGCTCCACTCTTTATACAATCTTAAAACTGGTGGCTTTAAATAGCCCACTGTTAACCAATCATGAGTCTAACTTTAAATAAATAATGGTCAAAGTAAATTAATGTTTTCTTTATCATGTAAATTAGACATTCCTTTGTAGAAATAAATAAAATCAAACTGTTTTCAAGTACTCAACATGTACTTATTGATTTAATCCTCACAACAATTCCATTAAGTTGGTTAGTATTGGTTAATTAGAAATAATTATTTTAATTAGACACTCAGCATTCTAAGAGAACCTAACATGACAGAGACTAAATAAAACACTGAGTTATGTTTCTTGGATTTACTACTGGGAACCATGAGAAAGAAGATGCCTACTAAAAAGGGCTCCTGGTGGCTAACTAGACTCAAATTTAAAAAAACAAAAACAAAAATACAGAGCCAAGCAGCCATTTCTGTACAGGCCTCTCATGCAAACTGCAATTCAGGGAGAAGCCTGCACCAAGCAGCCTGCCTCTTGCATTAAACTGCCTGCCTGCACTGTATTCCGGGCATAGTCTGAGAGGCCTTATAAAGGAGTTCCTGGAATTTTATTTCAACCAGTAGGATTGAGGCTTTCCCCATCCAACAGGAGCTGCGCGGCTACACCCCTTCAATTTCCTTACCAACCAATCAGAGTGGCTCCATTCTGACCAATCAGGACAGTGTTTTCTGGTCCAATCAAACTTAAAGGATTTGGAGTCATCGTCATCGTTTGCTTGAGTACAAACCAATCCCCGACCAGAGGCAGGAACTTCTCTATATAAGTCAGCTACTCTCTGACTCTAAGAATGCTTTTGCTTTCCACCAAAGACTAAAAGGTGGAGCAGACCAGCAGAGGGCAGAGCAGAGCTGTCTAGCTTGAGAGGGGCCTGTCTCCAGGCCACCTTAATAGCATTGCTGTTTTCATAGCCCTTGCTGTGTCAAAACTGAGCTACTTAACTGAATAAAATTTCCTTCTTTACTGCACCCCAAACTGGGGATTTCTGTTGGCAAACAATGTTCATTTGACACTATCTATTGTGAAGTAAAATTAAAGACACAAAGCTGCCCTGCAAAGTCATACGGGAGGTCAGATTGTCAGTATACTGACATTTGAGACTTAAGCTCACTTCCTAGAGATCTAATTTCAGAAGAGACTAGTTTAAATTGGAATAACCAAATTTATTCATTTACATTGAGATACATTATTTGAGTGACCAGAATATAACTGTGCCCATCACCCAGGACATGGCTCTAATATTTAAAAACTTGCTAGAATAATCCATTATGTGTGATGAACATAAGTCAAAGAACACAAAATATTTCATATAAACAGATAGTAAATTCTACCACACTACCACCATCTCTGGCAAACAGAATATAAACAAACAGGGATCAGGGTACTCAGATCTGACTCTTTCCTGGAAAGTGCTTAATAAACATTTTCAAAATCTTTTTCTTTTCTTTTTTAAACTAGAGGCCCAGCGCGGGGAAATCACATGAGACCCAGCATCCCGCAGGTCCAGCGGGACCCAGAGTCCCTCCTGCCGCCGCTACCACAAGACCCATCAATGTACCTCCTGGTGACCAGTGGTTTGGTCCTTCTGGCGTTAGGTCGTTAAGGCCACTGGCTTTTTATAATATAGATATGTTTTTATTGATTTCAGAGAAAGGAAGGGAGAGGGAGAGAAACATCAATGATGATAGAGAATCATTGATAGGCTGCCTCCTGCATGCCCCCTACTGGTGATCGAGCTTGCAACTTGGGCATGTGCTCTGACCAGAAATCCAACCGTGACCTCCTGTTTCATGGGTTGATGCTCAAGCACTGAGCCACACCAGCTGGGCAAATCCTTTTTCTTTTAAGGAATCTCTTTTTTCTTTTAGTTTCCTCAAAGTCACTGTCCATCTTTTATAAAAGTTAAACTTCAGGCACATTACAATAAAACTGATTTTTCCAAAGTATGATATATAACCATCTGAGGTATATGAAACAACTTCAAGTAATACACAAAGTATTTAAATTTGCGTCGTTATGCATCTTAATATGTATTACGAAAAAATACAACATCTTTCCCTCAATTTCATAGTTGTTATTGTTTAGGACAGAATTAACAAATGAGACATCCAAATAAAAATATCAAAATGAAGCAGAAATGTGGATTTGACCAATAAAATAGTAAAGGTTATACTTAAATGACTAAAGTTTGAAAGTGTGGGAAAGGTTTTTTACTATGCCATGATTCCTCTAATATTAACTACATTCTCATCATCTTGATTAAACTTGAGCATTTCCAAATCTCCTCAAATAAAATGTTACAGACCTTTCTCAGGGTAGATTATTATAGATTGATAAGCCCTAACAATAGCACCCGGCTTTGCTCTTGGACCAAGAGTATTCTGGTAAATTGATCTGCTTGGAATGTTAGAATTATATCCTAAATTATCATCAGTCTCTTCTTCTAGATCAGGTTTCTCAACCTTGGCATGACATACGTTTTGGGTTGGATAAGTTTTTTATTGATGGGGAATACTCTGTTTAAATTTGTAGTAGTACCCCTAGCCTCTACCCATTATATGCCAGTAGCAGTAACATACTCCCCCCTTTTCAGTTGTGACAATGAAAATTATTTACAGACATTGTCAAAATATCCCGGGAAAGGGGGAGGGGAGATCACCCCTGGTTGAGATCCACTACTCTAGAAAATGGGCGGGAGTTCAGCCCAGCTCAGCCCCTCAGGCAGAGCTTGGCCTCATTAGTGAAAATTTACTATTATACATCCATATGTTACATAAATTTCTTTTGAAATTAAAGTTATTAGGTTTCTTCTTCAGATAAAGAATTAAATACCTGTCATCACAAATTTAATACTAAAATAAAACTTTGTTAAAATAAAAAAAAAGAAAAAGGCTATCATTCAAAGTTCAAATTTCTCATTAATATATTGAAAAGGAACTAGAACTTATAATCTTTTTGCACTTACTGTCTTAGATACATTATAAATATTAACAAACAAAAATGATGTACTTTACACATATTTCAAATTATGTTTACATTTCTCTTTGGCTTACCTGAAGAAACCCAGGAGGACGGTTTAGAACTGTATCAAGAGAATTATCCAAGAATCTCACAATTCGAAGATATCCAGGATATGAAGGTGCACTAACTTCCCCTGCAGGATTTACAAAAAAAATCTGTACTCCATTTGGTATCAAAATCAACTCATCTGCATCAAGCCCTAAGGTCTCAAGAGGAGGTGGCTGAGAATGATTTCTGTAGAAGTCTTCTCCAACTGATGAAAATTCCCCAGATTCTGTCCCATATGATACAGTATAGTGACCCTCAGCAGCTTGAGGTGTATAAGCAGGAGGTGCTTCTGCTGGATGACTTTGAGATGGTAAGGATAGAGAACTAGGTGCAGGAACTGACCCTGTACTGGTAGCTGAAGTGTTTCCATTTACCTCAGTGGGCTGAGGAGGTGAACTAAAGGACTGAGGCGCCAGTGACTTTTCAGATGTATGTTTAGGTGGAAATTCTGGATATAACTTGGGCACCTCCTGAAGATCATTCCTTAGAGAAGTGGCAAGGCCCTTCTCTAGAATTTCCAACCTGGTACGTACATTCTGTAGTGTTTCTTTCATTTTCTGTTGCATCTGCCTAGCAGATTCCCACCCAGGACCTGTGTGCTCAGGGTCTGTTGATGAAATGCTGATTCCTCTGAGCAGGTGTCCTATTCCTTGCTTATAGTAGTTCTTTGCTTCTTCCTTTTGACCTAATTCATCTGTATTCAGTCCTTTATTAACAAATAAAAAGGCTTTTTTGTATGCTTCCTTGATGATCTTAATTTCAGCAGGTTCTCCATTTTGTGCCTCTTGCTCCATTTCTGCAAAACAGGAAATTATCTTTAATTATCTTTGGTACTTGTTTACTTACTTACAATGAACTTCTCCTACCTGAATATATTTCTAGAGGACAGGAGCTTTGCTGTCTTGTTCACTATTGTATTCCCTAAGCCTACTAGATCTGACATAGAGAAAGCACTCAATATGTGTTTAATGGATAAATAAACAATGCTCTTGGTCCTAAATATCATTTTAATTAAAAATAGAGAAGAATAAGGCAGACTAAAATTACTGAATAATTTTCTTGTTCCAGTTTCTTATAAAACATAAAATTTCCTGTCTCATATCTTTAATATTGGACTTACAATATAAATACAGACTATGCCCAGCTAATTAAAAATGAGGTTGAATCATACATTGGAGATGACAAAAATGAGAAAAAAATACCTGGATGAAGCTTTAAAGTTTCCTCACTTCCATTTAAAGGTGGCAGGGTACTCACAAGCAGTTAAACCCTGCTATCTCCCAAAAGTCCATTAAAATCACTCTAACAAGATTATTAAAAAGGCATAACATAACCATTCTTTTTAATGAGAAAAAGGCATGAATAAGTACTTCATAAAAGAACATATTTAAATGGCATGTGAAAAGGTAATTCAAGATATTATTCCCTCAGGGAAATGAAACTAAAATCCACAGCAGTATGACTACACACTTATCACAGATGGCTAAGTTGAAAAGACTGACTAGTGTTAGAGAAGACAGCAACTAGAACTCTCATACTTTGCTGATGTAAGTAAAAAATGGTACAGACACTTTGGAAAACTGGCAATTTCTATTAAAACTAAATATTTACTCTACAATCCCCCTCATCGGTATGTAACCAAAAAAAAAAATGAATAAATACACACACCCAAAACATGTACAATGATATTCATAGTGGCTTTATTCACAAAAGCCAAAAACTTGAAACAACTCAAATGCCCACTCACAGAAGAAGGGATAAATATAGTGATATATTTATATAATACTATAGTACATAGGAACTAAAAAATAAACAAGATGAATCTCACCAATTCTTGGAGCAAAAGAAGCCAGATAAAAAAGATTTCACATTGAGACAACATAATACATGAATGATTCTGTAAAGTTGAAAAATAGGCAAAGCTAGTATATGGTGATAGAAATAAAAATAATGCTTATAGGTCAGTGATGGTGAACCTTTTGAGCTCGGCGTGTCAGCATTTTGAAAAACCCTAACTTAATTCTGGTGCTGTGTCACATATAGAAATTTTTTGATATTTGCAACCATAGTAAAACAAAGATTTATATTTTTGATATTTATTTTATATATTTAAATGCCATTCAACAAAGAAAAATCAACCAAAAAAATGAGTTCGTGTGTCACCTCTGACATGGGTGTCATAGGTTCGCCATCACTATTATAGGTGGTAGATACAGATTTGGAAAATATATAGAGGACCTTATTATATATGGAAGTGTTCTTTATCTTGATCTGAGAGATGACTGCATATATAAAAAAATCATTAGGCTATAAATTTAAGATCTGTGTACGACATGTGTTTATGTTATTCTGTAATTTTTTTAAAATTCTATATAATAAAAGGCCAGCGACTGTAACAGTGGAATGACCGAAACAACTGATCGACCAATCGCTATGAGGTGCATTGACCACCTCTCGGTCCTTCCCCCGACTCCTGCAGGCTCCAATTGCTGGATGGCCAAAGGGCAACCACGGGGAAACAGGGTGGGTGGTGGTGGGGCGGGACTGGGGACTGGCAAGCGGGAGGAAGGCAGACCTCTTGGTCCCTCCCCCCGGCCCGCAGGCTCAGACTGATCACCCCAATGGGGAACTGGGGTGGGTGGAGGTGGCAGGGCGAGACTGGGGACTGGTGAGCAGGTGGAAGATGGCCCTGATCACAGGCTAGGCCTAGGGACCCTACCTATGCATGATTTCGTGCGCTGGGCCTCTAGTGGGTAAATAAAGCCATAAATCACAAGGACAAAGATGAAGGATAAACTGGAAAACAAACAAACAAGCGGTAACTCACAAAACAGACCAAAGTAAGCTGAAGTCCAGCTGTCAGTGAGGAAATCAGAGAAGCAGTCCCTTTTACAGTACATGACAGAACCTCCCAAAGGCATAGAAAGTAATGATATTTAATCTTCCTCTGGAAGTGGGAGTAGAGGTAGAGCTGAGGAAAAAGGACTGAAAAAAAGCTAACTTACACATTAAGACCCTTGGAGCTCTCCTACACCAAGCACCCAAGACACTATTTCCCTCCATCCCTGAAAGAAGACTGAATTTTAATTCAAGAATACAAAATAAAATGTCTTTGGACAGGGGATTATCAAGCATTATTAAGGGTAAATACCAAAAGCAGAAGAATTAAATGAAAAATTACACATGATATGAAGACACTCAGCCTTCTCTCGCCAATTTGATTCTTAAGAGTTCTGACAGCAGAGATTAAAAATGGTGGAGTAAGTGGATGCTGCATGGCCATGCTCCCAGGACCAAATTGGAATTACAATTAAATACAGAAAAACTTCCTGAATAATCAAATGAAGACTCTCTGTAGAGAACCCTGATAACCGAGGATGGAAAGTGGAGACTGCATAGAGACTGGTAGGAGGGGCAGAGGCGAGAAAGGGCTGGCTCGATTATCACAGACTGCAACTGAAGTTTTGGAGAGCTATCTCAGCTGTGGGGGATTCTCATTGAGAATTCTGGAGTCTAATCTCCAAGCTGGGCCCCCCAGCAGAAAGCACCAGAACTGGGAAGGGTACCCACATAATGTTTGCTGTGAAAAGCAGCAGGGTTACTGTCTGCCAGGGAGAGATGGCTAGAAATTCAGGGACTCTCTTAAAAGGCCAACACACAAAACTTTGTGTGCAGCACTCACCTTGTGCTCTGGCAGAAGGTGGGCAGAGTGGACTAGAGCTGTGCGAGCAGAAGCCAGGGTTGGGGGCCACGGGGTTAGAGCTCAGAAGGCAGATACCCCAGTTTCCTGTGTTGAGTTATTCCCTTATGCTGCATAGATAATCTTTCTCACACAGACAATTGCTATCTAGGTGGTTTTGTATAGGGGTAAGATAATTGAACCACCCTATTGGAAAACACCTTGCCCCATGGTGTGGAGTTTCTGAGGCCCATTAAGAGACTGAGAATAACAATTAGCCTTCAGGCAGAAGCAATTGCCCCCCCCCCCCCACATTGGAAAAATTCTCACCATCCTGTGGAAAATTGTCTGAGGGCTATCCAAGACTAAATCCAATCAGTCTGCAAGGAGAAGCAATCTCTGGATGCTTTGAGTCTTTGCCTTCTCTAATTAGTCAGAAACTGCAGTTGACACTGTCCTTAACTAGAGATTGAGAAGTGTGGCAAATCTACCTAATACGTAGTCACAAACTCAAACAGGCAGTCAAAATGAGGAGACAAAGAAACAACCCCAAAATGAAAGAACAAGAGATTTCTCCAGAAGAAGAGATAAATGAAATAGAGATAAGGAATTTATCTGAGAGTTCAGAATAATGATGGTAAAGATGCTCAACAGCATGAGAAAAGATATGGTAACTATAAAGGCAGAAGTAAAGGATGACATAGCACAAATAAAGAACACATTGGAAGGAATACACAGCAGATTAGGGAAAGCTGAGGATAGGATCAGTGAATTAGAAGAGAGAGTAGAAAAATATCTATCAAAAACCGAACAAAACAACAACAAAAACAGGAGGACAGCTTAAAGGAGATATGGTACAACATGAAATGTAGCAATATTTACATAGCAGGTGTGCCAGAAGAGGTGGAAAGGGAGAAAGAGATAGAAAACCTGTTTGAAGAAATAATGGCATAAAACTTCACCAACTTGGTGAAGGAAAGGTCACACAAGTTCAGGAGACACATAGAGTCCCAAGCAAGAAGTACCAAAATTTTAAAAAAGATAAATAAAACACTAAATTTCAAACACATCATAATTAAAGTCTCAAAAATTAAAACAGAGAATCTTAACACATTGTTTGCGGGTAGTTTTTATCGCGCGCTAACAGGTGGCGCGGGCCATTTTTGCTAATTTTTCGCCAAATGGCAACATTCAGTAAAATTACGATAACTTTAGTTTACGTATTTATACATTACCCGCATTCTACCGCTAGTCTATAAAAAACGTATTAATACGTGTCCCGCGCTCTACTACACTGGTAGAACGTATAAATACATAAAACGTATAAATACGTTTCCCACATACAATGTGTTAAATGTAGCAAGAGAAAAGGAAACTGTTACCTAAAAAGGAGCTCCCATAAGGTTGTCATCTGATTTGTCATCAGAAACTGTGCAGGCCAGAAAGGAATGGCATGAAGTAGTCAAAGTAATAGAAAGCAAGGATTTGAAAACCAAGATTACTATATCCAGGAAGACTATAATTCAAAATAGATGGTGAAATAAAGAGCTTTCTAGACAAGAAAAGTCTAAACGAGTTCATCACTACTAAAGCAGCACAACAAGAAACGCTAAAGGGACTGCTGAATGAGAAGAAAAAATAGAGAGAGAAACCTAGGCATACAGAATTAAAATGGCAATAAATAAGTACCTATCAATAATAACCATAAATGTAAATGGATTAAATGCTCCAATCAAAAGGCATAGGGTAGCTGAATGGATACAAAAACATAACCCAACTATATACTGTCTACAAGAGACTCACCTCAGGACAAAAGACTCACACAGGATGAGAGTGAAGGGCTGGAAAATTTTTTTCAATGAAAATGAAAAAGAGAAAAAAGCTGGGGTAGCAACACCCATATCAGCTCACTACATAATACTAAAGGGATCGATCCAATAAGAGAATATAACCCTGGTAAACATATATGCACCCAATATAGGAGCACCTAAATATTTTTAAAAACTTGAAGAGGATTTTAAGGAAAAGATCAATAACAATACAGTCATAGTAGGGGATTTTAACTTCCAGTAAAGTAGATGACTTCACTGGATAGATCTTCCAGACAAAAAATTAAC